AAAGGTAACCTGGTTTTCTTTCACGGTTGATCTTTTTTACACTCTGGCACACATTCGGGGCTTCCTTACTTTTTTGAGAGCGGCGCTGGTCTGGGGATCGTTGCATTTATCTTTCCTACCTCCCGTGGTGAGCTACTACCTACCTTGTGCTACAAGAACCCAACCCAACCCAATCAATTGAGCTACCATCAATTACTGCTCATTTTCAAACATACGTGCATTGTGAAGTGAACTGTTGACTCCATTTGAAGTTGGTGTTCTGATTGCTTTCTATGCTAACGTAAACGGAAGATGTATGCACCTTAACGAAGACATGATTTTAGTCGTCTCTCCGGCCCGAGACAAGAGCACTACTTCTTGATCAGGAATCTGCGTCGCAAAGCACGAGACCAACAAGTTAAAAGGGGGTCCCGCTGATCATTTTGATGGAGAGAGTAGTGGATTGCTGTAGGTCAGATGGCAGAAAGCTTCAAAATGACGAGATGGTGGGCATCAACTTGGGGTGCCCTCTCCCACCCAACTCTGCGTTTCTATGCAGTGGCAGTGCGCCATCGATGGGCAGCTGGCAGACAGCTGAAGACTTCCGAAACTTACATCAAGGAACATGCAAGCAAGAACTAGGATATGAAGCAACCACCAACCAAACGGGGTGCTGACGGAGGAAGGACTAATAGCCTCAGGCAGTCATCGGTCATCTACAACTTTCCTCCCCTGGCCAAATATGGGCGAGACGAGGGCACGTACGACAGTCTGGCAGTGCCAAAAATATAATGTTGGATCAGGTTTGGCTAGTACTATATGGATTCATTTGCTGACTCTCAAGTTTTGTCAGCTGATCGTTCTTTTGCTGCATACACAAGGAACCTAGGTGCCTGATGATAAAGAACAGCAGCGAAACTCGAGGATAATAAGCTTCCCCAAAATGGGGGGGAGTTTACCGGACAAGTCCGGGTGAGCGAGGAAGCAAGCGCTTGACCTTGGAGACGATGTGATGTTAGGGTTTGTAGGCAGATGGAAGTCGCGGGGGGGACGACGCGTGCTGTTGCATTCTTTGCCTTGCTTGCTGTAGAAGCAAAGGCAGGTCGCGAATGGCTAGGCGCATCAAGTTTGTTGCTACTGCTGCTGCATCTGAATGGTTCGCCGGATGCGTCGCAAGCAATAGTAATGCACTAGAATTCGACTCCGTCAACAAGAAAAAATCGCGAGCTTACATGTCGCTTTGGTTTATTTCTTTCGTATCGTCCCCTTCCGCATATTAGTTACTCGCTTTCTTTTCATCACTTGCAGTATTCCAGCGGGCGACCTGTGATCCATCCCCAACACCTTCGTCCTGCGACACAAGCCCGGACGTTCGTCGCCAATCGTTGAAGGCGACCCCCTTTTCCCCGCCAGCCGAGGGCCGTTTTACGGTGCTGGCGCTGCGCTGCAGGACCAGAAAATCTGCAGTGGCGAAATCGCCGCCGCAGCAGCAGCAGCAAGCAGCTGGTCTTTTTCGTCCCGTCCAGTGCCTGCCTGGCTTCGATCCCATGTTCGCTGTTGCCAGCCGGGATTGCAAGGCACAGCCCATTCGTCTGGTCGAGTCACAACCCACCCGCAGCTTCCAGGTCGGTCTCTTGGTTTGGATGGAAAGAAACAGCAGACGAAATCCTGCCACGGCCGTCTCTCTCCTTTTTCTACGGAACTTATTCTGCGAGGGGATAGCTTTGTCTGTCCTTGAGAGTTGACTTTTGCTTTGTTTTATTTATTGTTTATATATTGCTTGTCCTCCGTCGAACCTACAGCTGTTACAGTTCAGCGGGTTCTCTCACATGTGCCTGCCCGCACCGACCCCTCACCGTGCAACTGAGCAACCAGCCAGCAACAAGCAGCGGCCTGCCGGCCAGTCACCAGCTGTCAATTGCCTGCCCAACCATCGCGCCATTGGGCGACGACATCGACGAGCCAGAGCAGCAGCAGGAGGCAGCCCGGGAAAAGGGAGCTAGAGGGAAAAGGTACCGAGCTGGCCATGCCCACGAGAAAAGAATAAACCGGAAACCGGTATAGAAAGAGAAAAAGAAACAGATCAGACGAAACAGAGACGGACAGCGCAGGGTGTACGAACGAACGAAGCGACGGAAAACCAGTCGACACGAACGACCTGCCGGGAGAAGGAAACGGAGAGACAGAGACACAAGAGCAGCAGCGCACACGCACGATCGCACGCTCGCACCCACGCGACACCTGGTTGACGGGCCCGACTCCGATTCTCCGCCCGCATTCATGGTGTCGCAGCAGCACGGCGGCGACGTGTCGACCTCGCTGACGGTGCGGGGGGCCGCGTCGGTTGTTGGCGTGGAAAGGGAGCGGGAGAGGAGCGGCCGGACGGGGAGCTCGTCCCATGTCTCATCCCGCTCGCGCCGCTACAATCGGTCGCATGCCGGCGGCGGCGCATTCGTCCCACAAAACGAGTTCCCCGTCTTCTCCCACAGCGGCGATGTCGAGATCATCGTGCGCGTTGCGACCGGCCACGAGAGCCGCTACCTCCTCCACCGCCACACCCTTACCCGCTGCTCCGGCTTTTTCGAGGCTAGCACGAGCCACGAATGGTCTCGCGCCCAGCCTGCCCCCGACCTACTGCTCACGCCGCCCCCAGGGACGGCGGCAGCGTTTGAGGCCGGCGGCGACACCAAGGGAGCCAGCAGCCTGGGTGGCGGGGAGTTGGCCAAGATAGACGACAGAGGGAACAGCAGCGATGGGGGCAGCAGACCACCGCCCCTGGCCATGGCGCCGATACGCAAGCGGTGGCGGTATGAGCTGGATCCAGGGACGGGCGACAACGACATACCGATGCTGGTCCAGAAGAAGGAGAGTAGTAGCCCGCCTACCGCGGGGAGTAACCTGTCTTCTCCCAACTCGATATTCGGGGGGCCGAGTCCAACCCTGTCGTCGAGCAGACAACCCCACAGCGCGACCAAGTCAGCATCGCGCTCCTTCTTCCGGTCCGTCGCCAACCTCAGCCTCTCATCCAACCATACCTCCTCCGCCCCTCCCCTCCTACAGCCCACACAAGCCGAGCAGGACCTCCTCCGCGATTATGACAACCTGTTCCGCATCATGTATAACTACCCTCCCTCCCTGGATGGCATAAATATCGCCGACGCCTACGTACAATGCAAGTCGCTCCTCACCCTTGCGGACCAATACGACGCTCTCGCTGTGGTCGGCCCGCGCGTCGACCACCACCTCCTCCAGTTCCAATCCCGCCTGTGGCGCCAGATCGCAAAGTACCCTATCAGCTACCTGCGCCTAGGCTACCTCGCCCGTTCCAAAATCATCTTTCAAGAAGCGCTAATCCACGTTGTGGGCCAATGGCCTGCAGGAGAGCGGTCCATCCGTGCCGCCCTACCCGACACAGTCCTCGACATCATCGAGGACAAAGTCGACGAGCTCGAAGAGACGGTCGGCCGCATCGAAGCGCGCCTCTTCCGCGTGACGCTCACTAATCGCTCCGGCGAGCGCATAAACCCAGCCACGAACTACCTTGACTGGCTCGCCGTTAGCCTCTTCCGCCAGTGGCTAGCCGATAACACGGCGCCGCCGATGCCGCTCATCCCGGAGCGCAGCGGCCGAGCAGCGGGCGGGAGCCATCACGACGCCATGGGGTCGTCGCGCGGGCGCGGCGGGAGCAGCAGCTCTGGCGCCTCGGCAGCGGGGAACGGTTCCGCCGCCGCGCGGCCCGGCGCAGGCGCAAGCACTGCGCTCACATCGGCCGCCGTTGGTGTGCCCCCGCCGCTCGCCGCGCTGGGGAGGACATACCGCATCCTCGGCTCCGCGCCTAACCCCGGATCCCACAGCGTCGCCGATAAAGGCTACCTCAGCCACGACGACTGCAAGCGTTTCCTAAAACTCTCTCCGGATCTCTATAGTAGGGACAACCTCCGCCGCTTCGAGAAGCGCATCGATGAGCTGAAGGCGATGGCTCGCGAGGTTGTTCGGCCGCTGATGGGCAGCGGGCTTGAGCTCGAGTTAGCTGGCGGGGGCAGCGTCGGGTATTTGACCTGTACTACCGTGTCCGATAGAGACTTGCCTTGGATGGCTTATGATCAGTGACTTCCCTTGACTCTATAAAAAAAATTGAAATGAAAGATGTGAGAAGGATGTAATGATGGTCAAATTTGTTTCTTTTGTAAGTGGGGAGGTAAAGGTTCAGTCTTGGGTATAATATTATATTGGGAAGGAGTTGGGTTGGTTTTGGATTTGGGAGAAGCAAGACATGGATGGATTACCCTACCTATCTAGGTTACTTATGGATATGAATATGGCTCGGTACTTGTGGGATGAAGGGCCAATGGAAATGGAACGAACGAGCGAATGAACGGAACGGATGGATGAATGAATGGATGGACCTGGTGTCTTTTCTCTTGTCTCTTCTTTCTTCTTCCTCCTTTTGTGAGGCATTCTACCTCTTTTTTATTTTTATTTATTTATATTCAATGGTACTTTTTGAAGTCCTTTTCCTCGGACGTTCGATTATATATATATATGTATCTACCATATGGATAGGTAGTGTGGTTATTCCTTCTGGTGTCTGGCGTTATCAAACGACGTTGAATGTGACGACACGGTTTTTTTCTAAGGAGAATGGGATACGTGTTCTGCAGAACACGCAGAAAGGAAGACAGAAGAGGATACGAAGGAAGGATGGATACCATTTGAGATGAAAAGAGAACCCACCTAGTATTTGTTAATCTGATTCTTGCAAGCCTTTATTTGTCCTGATCCAGTGGACGGACACACGCTCCACGACTGAGTGTTTGGAAGGGGGGGTTTTTTTTTTAAAAAAAAAAAAAAAAAGAAAAACTCCCTCCCATTTATTATCATGCAAGCAACTTATCTTAGTGTTTACAAGCTTCGAGGGCAAGAGAAAAATTCGAAAAATAATAAACCAAACAACAACCCCATGGAAGAGAAAGAAAATACAAAACAAATCCATGAAAAAGGAAGCAGACTCTTCAGATGTGAGGTCGTACCCGGAATCGAACCGGGGTTCCCGGAAGATCCATCGGGTTGGGAGAAGATCAGAATCCGATGTGATGACCGCTACACTATACAACCGTGTTTTGTCTTGCTTCGATGGAGACTTGACGACGGTCTTGTGGATGTCCAACGTCGTTGTGTGACCCCACTTGCTCCGTTTGAGGCACTTTAGTGGTTTGAAGGTGCCCGGTTCATGCAAAGGCAGGAAGGGGAGAGAGTCCAGGCGCTGAGGAAGGGAGGTACTCACTCGTCGGGCAGCGCGCAGCAAGAACGCATCTATGGCGGGCGGCCATTGTGTTGATCGCCTAGCACCCGAACCTCATGAAACAGTGGCCATGAAGTGGACCTTGGCTGGCATCCGTGGTTCCTCGACGGAGGTTCACATATCATGGTAATAGCCGCTGATAATTGGACGTCGGGCGCCACAGTCTGCGGATGATTAGAATTCGGAGCTGGCGGACAATCCTGCCTCGTGTGATTTGGAAAATAAAGCGTATTTTTCTATCTGGGTACGTATGATTCTAATGATACCTGGACTACGGCCGACGGCTTTGAGGGACAGAGGCCGATACGTTTACCAATAGCCAGAAGGCGACGAGTGACCTACCTAGAAGGTTTGGTATTCACAAAGGACGAACGAGATGTGCCTCACCATCAAACCTCCATGATCATCGAATTTCTCCGTGAAAGTCTGCAGGCGAGAGCGAGAGTTTTCTAGGCTCCGCTGGGTTCGATGTGCGCTCCATGTTTACCGCGAGAACCATGGGGCAAGTGGTATAACGTGGTGATAATAGAGCGACTGTGTTTTCCCTACCTGGAGAAAGGCATTGGTATGATGTGGTATGAAGTTTGCTGCTTCGGGATGGTGGTCACACCCACGAAGCGCCCCCAGCTGGACCCTGTGTTAGTTGACCACGCATGTCACCAGACCAGTGGACAAAAGGAGAGCCTTTTGTGCCGCAATGTGCACTAGGCAAACTTCGGGATCACCTCCCATGGAGCATTTCACACAGCGAGCGCGAGGCAAAGCTGGGATTGTGAAATGGCCATAGAGAACAAAGTCTCGTGTGTTCGTTATTCTCTTCTGCATCTAAATTCCCGAGTCCAGTTTCCGTACTGTGTCCCTGTCCTTGTCGTAAAAGACAACCGCCGAAATATGCAACCGAAAGAGCCGCAAAGACGCCAGAGCCAACAGCAAAAGACGTCCTCCCTGACGAGATGAGGGCCGGGTGGGTATATTGATTTCCCAGCATCGAGTCGGTCGGCCGACCCGATTTTGTTCTTTTATTCGTTTCATTCCCTCCCAAGCAGGTCAAGGTCGCGTTTAGGCGGTGGCCTTGCCCTTGGCGGCCTTGGCCTTCTGGACCTGCTCGCGGCCGAGTCTGGAGCGCTCAAGGATGGACTCGCGGTCCTTGTCGAGCTTGAGCTTGGTGATGACGACGCTGCTGGGGTGGATGCCCAGGGGGACGCTCTGGCCGGTGGCCTTCTCGCGGGAGACACGCTCGACATGGATGACGTACTTGAGGCGGTACACGGAAGTGACCTTGCCCTCCTTGTCCTTGTTGGCGCCACGGACAATGGTGACCTCGTCGTCTTTGCGGATGGGCATGGAACGGACCTGTAGGCGGTTTGTGAGTTTCCTTCCTGTTGAGTTTCAAGTCACTGCAAATCATGGGGAAACGTACGTTGTACTTCTCACGGAGCTCCTTGCTGAGAGGGGCGCTCATGATGGTGCGGCGAACGCTCGAAGGCGCACTGAAGTGCGCCTTGCGAGACTTACGTCTCGACGAGTGGAGGGCTGCGGTATTTGTTAATTTTAACTGTTGCGGCATCCGTCGCTTGTTAATTGCGTGTACTCACAAGCGTTGACCTTGGCCATTGTGACTGATTTTTGCCGACGGAGGGGATGTCGAGTTTACTGGATCGCCGTGATCTTGACGGGAAGAGAACAAAATTGTCGGCAGGACTTGTGGGTTGGAAAATTAGCGAGCCCTGATCCATAAATCCATTCACCGCCTACCGTTTGGGACTAGTAGACGGGAGGGCCGGCAGAATGGCTTTTGCCTCTGGTGGGGGCTGTCAATGCAACACAGCCTGCACAGACCAACCTGTCTTGGCATTCCACGATGCTGGGATGGCATTCTCCGCCTCTTTCGACAACCTCCCACAAATGCAATCAGTTGGTGAATGCTATGACCATTACGTGGTCGATTCTTGAAGAAATTAGCAAATTAAATAAATAAAGCAACGATAACGTTCGACGTTCCGCGATAGACTATTGCCGTGTGGCGAGTGACTCCAAACGATACTCCCGGACTCCCTAAGATCTAGTGCTCCTTCCTAGAATCGAACGGTGGCTCTGCGTATTTGCTTAGCAGACCTATCCTGTGTCACCACGAGGATCACTGATCTCACCCGGTCTGCTTTGCTGAACCACCCAGCTCGCAATGCTCTATAGTAGGCGCAGGGGACCTAGGGAATCTGCACATTTCGCTTCCTAGGCCGCAGTCCAACACAGCCAGTGACTTCCATGCCCGAGGCAGTGGACTAATTAACTGGCTGGCTGGCTGGCTGAACACTCTTCTCCTTACATTAAAATGATCTTTGCTCCTAGTTTTGACTATGCCTTGCACTAACTATCAGATCTACTTTGCCATATCCCGTCAACGATTGTTCTTTCTCACAATTCTCCTTCATCATGGGACCAAGTAACAAAATTCCAAATCATCACAACGCTACCAAACACATGTCTTCTTCGTGCTTCTCTATGCCAGCCCAACAACCGGAAATTGAACTCTCCCGTGCTTTCGATTTCCTTCGCCATTGCCTTGAGTTCGGTGACATCCCAGTTCGCCCACACGTACTTGCCACGGAGGAACTTGCCCTCGGGACTCGTCGCCCAGACGATGAAGTTGGCCGGCAGAGCCGCTGGGGGGAAACAATATGTTAGCTTCATGTCCAAGAAATATTTGGGGGACGTTGGTTATTGGCTCACGATCATTGCACGGACTTGGCGGCTCCTCCGGCAGTTTATCGATCATGGCCGTCTTCATGGCGCCCAGGTGTAGCGAGACGACATGTAGGTCCGGGTAGTTGAAGACCTTGTGCTGCGCTAGCTTGGACAGCAAGTAGCTCGAGTACCCCGGGATTTCGGGAAAGTTGATGACGGAGCTGACCTCGGCCACGGTGGCGCCAGGGGCCGCGTGCGGGATGAATGCTCGGAGTAGGTTGAAGTTTCCCTTGACGTTGACTTCGAAGCAACGAAACCTGTATATAAATAAAACGGGTTTGAGTTATTGGGAGGCCATATTGGAGTTGGTCAACCTACCATTCGTCAGGATCAATGTCCATGAACGGCTTAACGTGGTAAAGGTATGCCGCGTTGGCAACTAGCATATTGATAAGGCCCGAGGCTTTGACAGCAGCCGAAATGACCTCGTCGACAGATTTCTTGTCTGTCATATTTGCAATAAAGGTGTGTATTTTGGTGCCTGGGTGCTGGGCCTCAACCTTCTCCTTCGTTGTGGTTAAGGTGCCTTGGGTGCGGCCGAGGATCGATATATTTGAGGCACCGGACTTCGCGAACGCCTCTGCGGTGGCCGACCCAAGACCACCACCTCCGCCGGTAATCACCACATGATTGCCTTTTGTTGAGAAATGGGCCTGGTTGGGGTCAATCTCAGGGTAGGGCTCAAAGCGAAGGGCTTTGATAGGTGCTGGAAGAGCCATCTTGATGAAAGTAATTGGTACTGGACAAGTCTTGCGAAAGGAGACGCTCGGGAGCTCAATGCTATGTTGGCTTCCAAGGTGAGAAACGCACGCCATATTCATGCCTCTGCTTTATACCCCTCAGTAAAGTCGGGATTAGGTTCCATCCGCCACAGCCGAGTTGTAGACATCATAGGGGAGGTCTTAATCCAATCCTGGTCTGATCGTGAGTGCGGATTTGCGGCAGGGTAAGAATTGATACGATATACGGCTAGCTCTCTTTTAATACTCAAGACACCTCATTAATAATATGGAACGTGATGCGAATTCATGTGAGCAACAGACCGCGCTCTACGGATGCGTCGAGTATCTGGTGCGCTGAGTTTTTATTTATATTCTATACGAAATCCTTTCTTCTTTTGAGCTAGTAAAATTGACAGAGGGGGCAACAGCGTAAAAAGGGATAAGAGGAAAAAAGGGAAGAAAAAAAGGGGGGGACTTGTAACATAGCCTGGGACTTGAACCTACAGCCTCGCATAACAGACTGATAGGTTGGCGACCCAATCCCATGCTGTTACCGCTCGGCCAGGTGCGGGCCACTACAAGCACCAACTATGTTGCAAGACGGGGACGGGAATTGTGGCAGAAATATCCCAGAGGGCAGGTGACCGGCATGGGTGTGGCAGCTGGAGACTGACATGGGATGAAATTGGTTGGGGTGGTGATGGGATGAAGAGCGATGAGTGTGGCAGTTGGAGTAAGATATGGGATGAGATGGGAAGACGATGTGATGGAAAGTGCGGCAGAAGCAAATCATATCAGCTATTCGAGACTGGACACGAGAAGCCGTCGAGAGTATCAGTTGAAAGTAAAGCATGATATGGATGAGTTGAAAGTGTAGCACGATAGGGATGGAGATGGTCCTTTCAGACTATCCGTAGAACTAGCCAAGAAACCCCCCTCTGAACTGGGCAAGACATCGTGAAGTAGGATCTAAGAATAATAATTAGACGTGGGAGTATTCATGTTATTCCTTGATACCTCGCTATGAGCTGGCATTATCAGCCAAGTACTAAGTCACAGAATTAACGCAATCACAAAATACCAGGGAAGAACTAGGTAGCAATGAGTGTAAGAAGAATAACCTGAACATTGAGAATAAAACAAAAACCTCCAGCATTGCTTGCTTGGATATAAAAAAGGCAATCCTTCCTATCAAACCCACCGCTAATATAAAAAATCCCTCCATTCCATTCGTGCCCCCCGTAATCCCAATAGTAGCTCCAGTACTTGCACAAGAGCCCAGATACTATACTGTTACTCCCCCATCAAACAAGACAAAAGGTATACGACGTCAAGTAAACAACAAG